ACGGGCTTAACGGGGGATCCGGAGCCCTCCCCGGGCTATACGGGGAAACAGGGGCCCTCCCCGGGCTTAACTGGGGAACAGGAAACAAAAAAAATTCAAAAACACAGAAGTTCAACATGGGGAAAGGACGCCGCTTACTTTCAGTTTTGGTCCGGTATTCTGTCACAGGTGCACTGCTGAGCGGACTGAAAAGCAAGGAACGAAGAGAGACGAGGAGTACATCAATCCAAATGGGTTTAATTAATACAAAGGAACACTCACGCAATAAGACCAATTTTCAACGTCGCTTTTTGGGCTAAAAGAAGTCCATGACGGGCCGACTTGATTTAGCCCAAAAAACGACGTCCAAATGACGTCTGGTGCTGGGTGGGAACGTTCTCTCAAAGTTATTGGAGCAAATTCGAGCTCGTCAGCGAGCGCATCGTCTCTTTCTGCAGCATCACGTCTGCCCATTGTCTGATCTCGTTCTGAAGTCTCGCGAAGGTCGCACGAGAAACAGAAGCTGCGTTTCAGGCAATCGCCATTTTGGATCTATCACCGCGTTGTTGCTAAAATGCAAGCAGTCTTATTTTGAGCCAACATGACGTCAGTTTCTCCATAGTCCTGTATGAGTTTCATCTTCCCTCCCATCCCGTCTCCTAACGATGGCGTCCGGCGGTGCAGATAGCAGGGTCTCCTGCGGGAGAGATTTGAGTTGTGTTCCCGAAGTGGCGGATACCCTCGCTGCGGTCGCCAAATTAGGGTAAGCAAAGAGAGCTTTTGGCGCAGTAAACAGTCAAATTATATCAGCGTTGTGGCTAAATGAAGTGAAGTGTGCTCAGTTTGAAGCTGGCTCGGCTAGGTCGCTGCACGTGATGCACATGAGTATTTGCTAGCTGTTAGCGGCTTCTTCAGATTTGCTTTTAACTCACACATGAGTCTGCACACCAGTTTTGGGCAATAACATACAGCTTTCTTTTGAAACCTTTAAAATACCTGCAGAATAGGTGTTTATCATTTTTACTGGTTCGTTTTAGTATTTAATTGATGTTTTTGAATTGATTCATTCAGTCTTATTGATGAGAAATGTTCGTTTTCCAGCACAAAAATTGTTACAGAAGTATTACATCTGTTCAGTTATTATTCAAAGTGGAGGTGATTAGACATGCATGCATTATAATTATTCTGACCTCATTGACTGATGGGATTGTGAGCCTGATGGGAAAGGCTGATCATTTGACATCTGAATAATCTAACATTAATCTGAATCATAGTATTATAAATTATTTATCACTGTGGTTACACACTTTTGTAATGCCAAACAAGCTTGGTGTTTCTGAAATATGTACTGATGTACTTTATTGATTCCTAAGCAGATATCAATAAAGTCTAAGACAAAATTGCAAGACCCTTCCGTTTTGATGACATTGATGAATTTTGGCATTTATTTTAAACGTGTATAACAACTAATATCTGTTTCCTTTGTGTGCTCTGTTTGTCTAAATCCATATCATTCTGTCCAGTAGCTTTGATTTCCTGTGCATGCCGCTGTTCCACCCGCGGTTCCGACGGGAGTATGAACTGGACCCTGCTAAGTCACGACCCGGAGCCCAAACACGCTCTGACCTGCTGTTATGTGGCAGAGGTGAGATATAAGAAACTCTGTGCATATTAATATTCACTCATCCAATACTGTGAATTGAGGAAAAAAAAAGTTTTTGAGGTTTTAAAGCTCTTAAAGTAATCATGTCATTAGAAAATTTTCTTGATCTATTTTAGTGATACATCAGTGTACTTTGAAAAAATATTCTAACTGTAAGAACTCAAAAACATCCTACCTAGTCCAAAAAGACCTTTTGTTGAAGCAAAACATCTGCATCTTTCTGATTTCAGATAGAAAAAAAACTACTAATACATGGCAGCCCTACGTTTGGACATCTGTAATGGCTATTTGGTATTCAGAAACTTGAGAGTGCTTCTTTTTTTTTTTTTTTAATTTAGAGGAAATTATGTAGATAATATTGATCCTGAGAAAAGAAGAATTAATGATAACAGTAAAATGTTGTAAAGTCACATTTCACATTCAAAGACAGACTTAAAAGCAGTCTATTACATTTTAAGGGTCAGAAAGAGAGTGGAAAGTGGTTATGAAATCTAAATCACGACTATTTTTGCCACAAAAACCTTAACTAGCTTTTAAACGATCCTCAGGGGACAAAATCAAATGATTAAAGATTGTATGATAAGACCTCTGATGGCAGTTCCTTATTAAATTCCTTTTTTTTTCTTTTTTTTTTATTAAAGATTGGATAGCTAACTTGTTCTCCATTTTCTTTATCCATGATACTCTGTGCAATTACATTTACAAAATTACATACACTTAAATGTTGCGATTGTATCTTTGTAATAATAAGATGTCCATTCTTATTAGATTGGAACACACTTATCGTGGGAAAGCTGTCACCCTGGATTGAGACAGACTCAGAGCTGACCACAGAACGCAGGAATTCAGAAGAAGTATGTTCATAATGTCTTATTTTTTAATTAACTATATTTTTGAGGTCCTTTTTTTCTCTTCTAAATATATTCCTTGTCTAATCTGATATTATTAATTTGCTGTAACTTATTGTTGTGTCAGAAATAATGCATACACGTGCACAATATCTTGACCGTTTTGGGTTTTTGATAAGGGCTTCTTCAAACAGCAGTGTCATTGTAGCTGTAATCAAGTCTCGGATGCAAACGAGGGCCATTTATAGGAGATCTGCCCAACAAAGAGGAAGCCGAGCAGATTTGTTGTTTATTTTGATGTGATCACTCCTTCTAATGTGTTTTGTGCCCTTGCTGCAGGCGCTGGTACAGGAGCTCAATTTCTGTGCTTATCTGGGGCTGCCAGCTTTCATGATCCCCCTAAGGGGTCCGCACTGTGCCAACCTGGCTCGAATCCTGCTTAACCACATCCACACAGGACACCACTCTTGCATGGTAATGGAAATCTGTAGCATAGAATGAAAACAAATATGCTCAGAACACACCATTATTTGTTTATGTATACACCCTGGGCCTATCATTTACACATAATCTTCATTCCTGCTGCTTCCATTTCTTTTCTTTCTTTCTTTTTCGCTGATGGAATTTTAATTAGTGGTGTGAGTAGACTGTTTATCATTTTAATTTGCTGTCCAACTATAATTTAAAATAATACTGTATGCATTATCCTTAAAGATGACATGATCTGATCCTTTTGCAATATTTATTAGGCTGTCATTTTAACGCATTAATGTGCTTAATTATATTTCAAAATAATGTATTTTCACAAAAATATTAAACTTCACAACTATTTTCAACATTGATAGTAAGTAATGTTTTTGAGCAGCAAATCAGCATATTAGAATGATTTCAGAAGGATTGTGTGACACTGAAAACTCAGCTTTGCTGTCACAAAAAAATATAATATAAAATAATTTATATTATAATTATAATAATTTATAATTATATTTCACAATATTGCTGTTTTACTGTATTTTGTATTAAATAAATGCACCCTTTGTCAGAGATTTCTTTCAAAATCATTGCAAAAATCTTACTGACCCAAAAACCTTTAAGTGGTAGTGTACTCTATCATGCTGGCTTATTAGAAAGTAAGTTATTAAAAGCATTTGTACAAAATACAAAGACACAACCTCTGTTCCAATAAGGGCACGGTTTAAACTCAATTATAATGCAAAGCCACGTGTAATGGATCAGTGTGCAAGCAGAAACAAATCCATTTGTTTTTTCTCAGTTGGCTGCTCTTTTATTGGTTGTAATGCTGCTTTCTTTGTTGATTAGGAATTAATTAGTTCAATGTTGGTTTGTTTTTAATTACATAGTTTTGGATACGCGTTCCACTGTTAGCTCCCGAGGACACGCGTGAAGATCTCATCGAGAACGAGTCATCTAAACAAATGGATGATGGCAGCAATGATGAGAAGACCTGGGCATGGTGAGAGAGCTGAAACAAAGCCATTTGTTCAATTAAATAAAGATATTAAATATCTAATTAAAACGTCCCATTAAGGATAAATGTGAGTGTGTTTTTTTTCTCTCCTAGTCCATATTTGGGTCTGCTGTGTGATTAAATCACTCAACTGCATGGAGAATAAAGCAATCTTTGGCCTCTGTTCATTTCATTTCCTTTTTTCTCTTCAGGTGGCACTCATTCAGAACACTCTGTGACTATAACAAGAGGATTTGCCTTGGTAAGAGCAAAAAAAACTCAAAAGTGAAGTGCTTATAATTGCCTATTAAAAATTAAGTGGTGAATACTAACAGTTTTCTGGGGGGTTTTTTCTTCTTTGTGAAGCTATTGAAATCGGAGAAGACCTGCCATCTGACACGTTAATCGACAAGTGGCTTGGAGAACCAATCAAAGCAGCCATTCTCCCCACCAGCATTTTTCTAACCAATAAAAAAGGGTTTCCGGTCCTTTCAAAAGCCCACCAGCGAGTCATCTTTCACCTCTTCAAGGTAAATGTTACCAATATTATGTCACATTCATTCTATTCAGGAAGGTTATCTAACATTCTAGGGTCTCCTTAGCTGGAGGCTCAGTTTATTTTCACAGGGGCAAACCGCCACAGTGAGAAAGACTTGCGCTCGTACCTGCAGTATCTGGAGTACCTCAACCAAAACCGTCCAGCACCTAATGCCTATGAGCTCTTCGCCAAAGGCTATGAAGATTACCTTCAGTCACCACTGCAGGTCTGACTGTCAAAGGATAAACATTTTGCCTAGTGAGTTTTTCAGCACATTATTGATTCTTTTGGTTTCAATTATGCTAATGGAATGCCTAATTGTTTTATCAGCCTTTAATGGACAATTTGGAATCACAGACGTATGAAGTTTTCGAAAAGGATCCCATCAAATATTCTCAGTACCAACAGGTGAGATAAAATAATTTGGTAATGGAAAGCAGAATCTATCATCATTTGGTCACCAGTTATTTATTCTCATTAGTGATGTTTGTTGCATAATTATGCAGTAGCTCATATTAAATGATGAAATGGGCAAAAAGGGGTAACTGTTTTGAACAGTAAGATTTTTAATATTTTAATGCTCTCCAAACCTGCATTTATTTGATCCAAAGTACAGCAAAAACAGTACAATTTTGAAATATTTTTACTATTTAAAATAACTGTTTTCTATTTGAATATAGAAAATGCTGAAAATTTAGCTTTGAACACAGGAATAAATTACAATTTTAAATATATTCTAATAGAAAGCAGTTATTTTAAATAGTACAAATATTTCACAGTATTACTGCTTTTGCTGTACTTTGGATCAAATAAATGCTGGCTTGGTGAGCAGTAGAGACTTCTTTAAAAAAACATAAAAAATCTTACTGTTCAAAAACTTTTGACTGGTATAATGTACATTTATTCATTTAGCAATAAATGTTTTCTTCGTAATAAATTTGGGTCCGTAAGGAAATACCCTAGCAAACGCATAGAAATGTGTTAAAAACACTTAAGCAAATGTTTGAGCACCTTAGCATTCATATCCATTACTGTTCAACAGCTTGGGGTTAGTAAGATTTGTTTTCCACAAAAGAAATTAACTTTTATTCATCAAGGACGCATTAAATTGGTCAAAGGTGACAGTGAAGACTTGCATTGTACAAAAAATTCTGTTCTATTCTGTACTTTCAATTAATTGAAGGATTCTGAAAAAAAATACCAGTTTCCACAAAAAAAATTATAACCGACACAACCTTGATAATAAGAAATATTTCTTTAGCACCACATCATTGGAAGACTGGATTTCAGTATTCATCTTTGCTGTCACATAAATAAATTACATTTTAAAATATAAAACAGTTCTTTACATTGTAATAATATTTCACAATATTGCAGTTTTAGCTGTTATTTTTATCAAATAAGTGCATCTTACTGACTCCTAACTGGTGAACGGTAGAGTAGCAACACCCATCACTGTAGTGAAGGAAAGGCACCACTTGAGAAAAAAAGAAGTTGTGAATTGTCTTTCCCAACAGGCTGTATATAGATGTCTACTAGACAGAGTTCCTGAAGAACAGATGGAAACCACTGTGCAGTAAGTGACTTCACATACTTCCAGGTGTCCCATTGTCAGTTCTTAATGAACTAGAAATTTCAGAGATATGCTGGTTGCTTGGCAGACTATGTCAACACTGAGATTTCTTTTCAGGGTTTTGATGGTACTAGGTGCAGGGCGTGGTCCACTGGTAAATGCCTCACTTCGTGCTGCAAAACAGGCTAAGAGGAAACTGCGTGTGTATGCCGTCGAGAAGAACACAAATGCTGTTGTCACGTAAGTAACGTAATGTTAAAGTGTGCATTTTTTTCCCCTCCTCCTTTTTTCCCCCTTCTCTTGATAATACAATACTGTAATTGATGATTTGTAATGTCTCTTATGCTCATCAAAATACAGTAGAAATTGTGTGAAGTATTTTTACAATTTAAAAACACTTTTCTATTTTAATATATTTGAAAAAGTAATTTATTAATGTGATGAAAGTGCTATATTTTCAGTAGCCATTGCTCCAGTCTTCAGTGTCACATGATCCTTAAGAAAGCAATCCTAATATGCTGATTTGGTGCACAAGAAACATTTCATATTATTATCTTCGTAATAATTTTCTTCCATTGAAAACTGTTGTGCTTATTTATTCAGGATTCATTGATGAATGAATAGAATAGCAGTAGAAACAACAGCATTTATTTGAAATATAAATCTTTTGTAAAAAAAAATATTTTATTAATATTTTAATAATTTCTTTAAACTTTTAAAGAGTATATGAATACATATTTTTTTGTTTGTTTTAAACAGTTTACTTTCAGATTACTTCTTTTAAAACATTTTAAACTCCATTAAACTTTTTACAAAAGTAAATGTGATGCTTTAAAGGTGCTTTAAAGGAAAAGTGTGTAATTTGTTTTCAGATGTGTTAATTTGATTTCAAGTGTAATAATTTATGTAAATGTATGCAGTCCTTTGGTGTTCCCCTGTCTTTCTCAGGCTGGAGAACTGGAAATTTGAGGAGTGGGGTGATCAGGTGACTGTTGTATCATGTGACATGAGGGAATGGACTGCTCCAGAGAAAGCAGATATCATTGTGAGCGAGCTTTTAGGGTCATTCGGAGACAATGAGCTTTCACCCGAGTGCCTTGATGGAGCGCAGCACTTCCTCAAAGGTTTGATATGAAATCATCTTTGTCTTTTAAAATTCTATGATTTTTGATTTGCCCTGTTTTACATCTTTTGATCCACTCCTGGATGTTTGTTTTCTCTTAGATGATGGCATAAGCATTCCCTGCTCTTACACGTCTTTCCTGGCTCCACTGTCCTCCTCTAAACTATATAATGAAGTGCGTGGGTGTCGAGAGCGAGACAAAGACCCCGAGTGCCATTTTGAGACACCATATGTTGTCAGACTACACAACTTCCACCAACTTGCAGACCCCAAACCCTGCTTCACCTTCGTACATCCCACCACAGGTACAGGATCATGCAGAGACAGACAAACAGATGCAGTAAGACCATATATATAGTCCAAAAATCGTTCCTTGAATTTTTTTTTGTAACTCTTTCTATGAAGCCAATAACTCTTGATCTTTACCCTGTGCAGATATGAATAATAACCGGTATCAATGTCTACGGTTCTTCATTGGATGTAATTCAGTGCTTCACGGCTTTGCTGGATATTTTGAGGCCACACTCTACAAAGATGTCACGCTCAGTAAGTCTTTTTGTAGTAGCAGCGTAGTGGCACACAATGTCAGTTTAAAGGCTGTTTCACAATGTAAGGCTTGCATTGTTCATGAATTTCTGGGTTACCACATTGAGTGTATTCTGTAATAATGACCACAAATTGGCATGGTTATCAGGAGAGGGCAATTAAAAATCATTTATATAATAAGGAAAACGATTTCATTTCTATCCAAATAGAATCAAATGCATCAAACTGTAGATACAGAGTGTTATTGTGTCAAATTTACAGGACAAAAGTGCAGTTTGTGTCTGTTGCTCTAGTGACAAATAAATATCTCTTTCTTCGTGCTTGCAGGTATAAAACCTGAAACACACTCTCCTGGGATGTTCTCCTGGTTCCCCATTCTATTCCCTTTGAAAGTAAGTTCAGTTCTTTTTTGTACCCCTCTTTCCATTAAACACATATTATTGGACTGTCCCGCTTTTAATGCAAGTATACAAGCTCACTTATGGATTGGTTTAATAATATTAAGAAGAAAACGTTTTATCATTTTTAGCATATGTAAATGTAAAACACCTTGTGTAATTTTAAATGCTCTATCTTTGTTTTGGTTTGTTTTTTATTGTTATTGTATTTCTGTAACTCTTGTATTTGTGTAAATCTGCTTTTGCCGTGAAGATGCCTCAGATGCTGGCATGGAATTAAAATCTGTACTACTACTATATTTTTGTACTGAAACACAAGCATACACTACATTTTGTTCAACAAGGTCGAATTAATCAAAAGTGACATACTTTTACATTGCTACAAAAACATCTATTTCAAATCAATGCTGTTCTTTGAACTTTCTATTAATTGTAGAATCCTGGAAAAATTATCTTGGTTTCCACCAAAATATTAAGCAGAACAGCTGCTTTTCAACACTGATAATAATTAGCAATGTTTCTTGAGCAGCAAATCAACATATTAGAATGATATCTGAAGACTGACACTGAAGACTAGAGAAATGGCTGTTGAAAATTCAGGTTTTCCATGACTGAAATCAATTACAATTTATAAAAATTTTAATTAATGTATAAATGGAAAACTGTTGTTTTAAATTGTTTTAGCCATTTTACTGTTGTTGTTCTGTATTTTTGATCAAATAAATACAGCTCTGATGACCTTACGATATTTATTAAAAAACGAAAACAAAAATGTATTGTTTATAATAGTAGCTCCTCCACCTGATGTTTTTTTTTTTATTGAAGTATACATACAACTAAAATTTACTTGTGCATTTTTCACTTAGTGCATTTTTCACTTAGCCCATCCCATTGCATTCTGAAAATCCCTTCTCATTGAGTGCTAGTGTACTTCGTTATAGCTGTCAGCTTATCTTTATATTTGACTTTTTTTTATCTCAGTATATGACTGTTATCCATCACTCAATGCACGCACTTTCTTGTAATACCATTTGGTGTGAACTTCTGCCATGGACATAAATACAGTTAGCACTTTCAGTTTGAAAGGACCCAGCTAAGCACTGTCAGAGCGTGGCAGTTTATTGACTCCACAGTTAATGCGCTGAAGTGTACAGCCACGTTGGGAGTGTAATCCTAACACCTTTTTTCCCCTCTCTCTCTCTCTCTCTCGCTCTCTCTCCCCATAAAGCAGCCGATCCCGCTGTCCTGTGGCGATAACGTGAGCGTGAGGTTCTGGAGGTGTAACAATGGAAAGAAGGTCTGGTATGAATGGGCTGTGACTGAGCCTATATGCTCCGCCATTCACAACCCTTCTGGGCGCTCTTACACCATCGGCCTGTAGCAAGCTGACATCTACTGAGACATGGGGTTACACTGACTTTTGTTTTGTTGTTGTTGTTGTTTTTTTTATAAACAATCTGGTTTTCAATCAAGCGGCAGGTTTAAATATCTTGTTTCAAGGGTTCAATTACACTCAAGGAGATTGTTCACCATGACAGCTATGTATCTTTGGCCATTTCTGTAATGTTCATGAGGATGGAAATTAAAACAGCACTTACGAGGTATCCTTTAAAGCAATGCGCGATGTCCTGGTGCTCTTTCTTAGTTCAAACTCTTCTGATATTTCAAAAATATATTAATAACACAAAAGCTGTTATTTTTTTGAATACTATTGTTTCTAGAACTGATTAAGTGAGTCCAACAGTCTATTTTATCACTCTACATAATACATCATAATACAATTCCCAGTTGTCCACCAGTGCCCTGCAAAGCCCCGTTGTGAGAATAATCATAGTATGATGTCCCCAGTCAGGCCATGTTAGAAAACATATCCCATACTTTTATAGTTTTTTTTTCCTGATTAAAAAAATGTATTGTCATATAACATGAATAAAAAAGGTACAAAATTGTGATCTTCCTCTCTGATAAATTTTATAAAATGTCCCAAGACAAACTCGCTCCATTTCATAAATCTATGTCGCAATATACAGGTAATGATGACCATGACATTTAAAAATAAAATACATATTGATATTGTATTATTACACATAAATAATTCAGTGGCCAATAGAGCCAAAAAAATAACAATTTGAATTAGATTTTTTTTGCACAATTTTATTTTTTTCAATTTGAATTATTGTAGATCATGATCATGACATACTAAAATCAAAATTAGATGTTAAACAGTCAGAATTATGGCATGAAAAGTGAAAATTGGCTTTTTATGACAGTTGACTTTTCGATGTCCTTTGTCATAATTTTTACTTTTTGTCATAATTATTTCTAGTTGACACTTCATAATAGGTGGCAGTATTGCACCTTAACACTCATTTTGTGTCCAGGAAGTGCTTATTAACATGAAATATTTCTTTTTGTGTCCTATTGTACACTTACGTGTGATTCATTGGCCAAAAAAGAGAAAACAAAATAAAGTTAAAGAATCCTTTTGAATTAGTTTTTTTTATAGATATTGTGATAACATTATAGTGAATTATTGTAATGATTATTATGAGATAATCAAAATCATAATTGACCCAAGTCAAAATTATGGTATAAAAAGACAATTATGACATAAAAAGTGAAATCGACAAATTCTACTTTCTATGACTACGTTTTGTTAATTTTTGTTATAATTTTGACCTTTTATCTCAATGTTTTTATATCTCATGATTTAGACTTTTTATCTTACAATTATGACTTATTTAATACTCCATATGAATCGTGAAATCTGATATCATGACAGCCGTAGTTGAAACAGTGTTGCTGTGTGGGGCTGGTCAGGATGCTCAAACAGCCACAGTGTTCACATGAATATTTGAATGCTGAATAAATTACATAAAATTTACATAAACATCAAATTGTTTTAGGCAAAGAACAGTCACATTAGCTATTAAATGTATTTCAGAGAGAAGTAATTTGTAGCTAAACAATTATAGGCAGGGAAACCATCAGCACTGATTTTGCTTTCTTTGTTTACTCATGAACACTCATTAACAGAGCGCAGCGTTAACGTGTTTGCCAAGACATCTAAACATATTCGTTAGCATCATGCAGGGAATATTCACAAATATCCATTCAAGCACCATTGATTGTGATCCTTGTCTTCTTGGTGAGCAACTTTGGAAGACACTAGAGAAGGCACTTGCTTTGTCTAATTGAATTATGAATGTAATTTGCATCTGTGACTTCTCTTAATTTTATTCAGTTATTCTTTAACACTAATTTCTTTGGAGTTAAATTGTACAAGTCATTGCATCATTGTTTAGGTTATTGTTAAAAATGTGCCAGTCTGAGGAGGTCGGCTTCCTCAGCTGAGTTTTGGTTTCTTCTACTTAGAACTACTTAGAACATCTTAGGGAGTTTCTTCATTGGCACTGATGCCTTTGGCAGCTCACGTAATGTGCATGTAAGACATTATTGTGTGTAAATCAGCTTTGGAATAGTATGCATTGTGAAAAGCACTATACAAATAAATAAAAATTTAGCTTTAGGGAAAAGCTTATTGATTTGCATGGCTGGCTGAGCTGAAGCTTTGTTCTTTGGCCAGAGAGCTCATTTTTGTCATGTGGCCCCTAGCAAACCCAATTCTGGCCCTTTGAAGTGCTGAAAAAATTTGTTACAGCCCCATTATGCATGTATATGTCTGTCCGTCTATATTTACAAATCAGTGTTTAGATCATAATTTATCACAGCCTTCCAAGTATTATATAAAAAAACTTTTAGCCTATATGGTGGCCCATTTCTGCCACATGAGAAAAAAAACATGCATTGGTAAAGCCATAATTATGACGTACTAAGTCATTGACATAGAAAGTCATAATTATGACAAAAAGTTAAAATTGAGAAGTGTTAATAGCTATGTTTCCATCCACCTATTTTTACGCGCATTTTGGAATATCGCATTAAAAAAACGCTGGATAGAAATGCCAAGATGCACATAAATTCTAAGAATGTGCATAAAACACTTATGCACACAATTAAAGTAGGATACACTTTTTTTATGCGAAAAGAAAAAATGCGAATAAAATACGATGGAAACACATTTACCAAATAAATTCCACCATGCGCATCAAACAAAGTCATGTGACTTTGCATGATGGGACGGGATAACTTGACTAACCAGTGGAGCGATCTCTTTGCACAGCATCTGAAATGTTGTTTTGGTTGTTCTGAAATGCCTGAGCAAAGTCTGCCATCAAAGTATTTCGATAGAAATGCCAAGATGCACATAACTTCTAAGAATGTGCATAAAACACTTACGCACACAATTAAAGTAGGATACACTTTTTTATGCGAAAAGAAAAAATGCGAATAAAATACGATGGAAACACATTTACCAAATAAATTCCACCATGCGCATCAAACAAAGTCATGTGACTTTGCATGATGGGACGGGATAACTTGACTAACCAGTGGAGCGATCTCTTTGCACAGCATCTGAAATGTTGTTTTGGTTGTTCTGAAATGCCTGAGCAAAGTCTGCCATCAAAGTATTTCTATATAATTGTCTTAAACGACTGCATTCCCAAACAGCAGGCATCCATCTTCGAAAGCACTGACAGCATTTATGGCTTTTCGTCTGCTTGCTCCGAAGTGGCTTCTTTTATTTTCTTAGTGATATTTATAGTGATATTTAGTGCCAGTTTATCAGGAAATAATGATTTTGTTCTCTTTGACTCGTTGGATGGGAACTGTGCATTATTCGCAAATGTTTTATGCAATATTCCAGTTTTGCCCAGAAGTTAAAATCGAATCTTTGGATGCAAACATAGCTGATAAAAATAATTTAAATAAATAATTGTAATAAATAAATAATCATATTTATGAGATAAAGTCAAGTATGGCAAAAAGTAAAAATGGTCATAATATACATTTTATGACACTTTTTGCCTTATGACTCAGAATCTCAATTTTGACATCTCTTTTTGTCATAATTTTGGCATGTCAAATTTTCACATCATAATTTTGACTTATGTCATAAGGACTTTTATGAACAATAATGATTTTATTATAATTAGTTATCAATGCAATAGTTTTTAGGTGGCGGAAATGGGGTTCCATATTATGAACAAAAATTAATTATTTCATCATTCATAAAATATATTTTTCTAAATTATTTTTATATAATATTTTGCTGCTGTTTTTTTTTTTTTTACAGAAAAAGTAAAATGTTTTCCTCACCCTAACAGGTTTAGATTTTTTAGTGTCTTGATTTTAATATCAGTAATTGTGGGTTAAGAGGACAAACATTCAAATGGCATAATTTTATTTGCCTGATTATGACCCAGATTTATTTATTTATTTTGACCTTAAGTTGAGATTTGGTGCTGCAAGACTATTGTGATTCCATTGCTAAATACAATTACTAAATACAAAATCTCTTTGTAGTTGCATAATATTGCCTCTGTTGCATTCATCTATTAAACTAGACCAAACCAGAACACTGTGGGCGGGTTTATCAGGTTATCACATTAAGTTTGGGGCGGGAGGATAAAGTTACAGAGACTCTCAACATCAACATTAAGCACAGAGTTGCTGCTGTCTGTGTGAAAATGAGCAGCAGTGGCGCCCGACGCAGGGCTGCATCAGTGCCAGACACAGACACCGACGACGGAGAACCAGAAGTGACCTTGATTTAGTGTCTTGATTTTAATATCAGTAATTGTGGGTTAAGAGGACAAACATTCAAATGGCATAATTTTATTTGCCTGATTATGACCCAGATTTATTTATTTATTTTGACCTTAAGTTGAGATTTGGTGCTGCAAGACTATTGTGATTCCATTGCTAAATACAATTACTAAATACAAAATCTCTTTGTAGTTGCATAATATTGCCTCTGTTGCATTCATCTATTAAACTAGACCAAACCAGAACACTGTGGGCGGGTTTATCAGGTTATCACATTAAGTTTGGGGCGGTAGGATAAAGTTACAGAGACTCTCAACATCAACATTAAGCACAGAGTTGCTGCTGTCTGTGTGAAAATGAGCAGCAGTGGTGCCCGACGCAGGGCTGCATCAGTGCCAGACACAGACACCGACGACGGAGAACCAGCAGTGACCTTGAAGAAAGAGATCGGACTCCTCAGTGCATGTGGTATTATTGTGGGTAAGTCTGTGTTATGCATTACGTTTCCTCTTTATATTCTCTTTGCACTTTATATGGTATAAAAATACATGCAGTAAATAAAAGTAGGCCTATAGTTTGTATCCCCTGAATTCATAAAATGAGATGTTTATGCATATCCATGATATTTTGAAGAACTGACCATACAATGAAACTGAAAGGAGTCCAATATTGTTTTCATTGTAAGGACCAAAAAACACTAATATCTTTTTTTAAATATCCTTTTTCCATCACCATACTAGGCATAGGATATATGCATAAAGTACATAATTTAA